TCGTCTACCCCAGCACTGATGCTTGATGGTCAATAAATAACTGTAGTGGAATATCTCCCCTACTTAGGTTTCTGCGTTCCAAATGACGGCAGCATAGCCAATGAAGTAATCGCCCGCATTTCCAAGGCTCGAGCAGCTTACGCAGAATTGGAACACCTGTGGTGGAGACGCGATGTTTCGTTGAAACTGAAATGTCACGTATACTTCACCAGTGTGCGGTCAGTTCTGCTCTATGGTTGCGAGACCCGAAGTTTGCACGCGGAAGATATTCGTCGTCTTAAAGTATTCGACTGCAAATGTTCACCTATTTTGGTGCGGGTTGGATGGAGCTAGCTTGTAAGCAACTCTGAGGTGAGGCGTCACCTATTTGGTAATGATTCTATGGAGAATTATTTATCCAAACGAATTCAGATTAGTCGGCTTCGCTGGTTAGGACACGTATTGTGCATGTCCAGCCATCGTCTGCTGCACCGCGCCCTATTCGCAATTGTGGCTCCATGTTGGAAGAAACCGCGTGGAGGTCACCAGATGACGTGGAAGCGAGGCATGAAGAAATGCACAGAGTGATTAGGTAGAATCGGTGTCTCTGTCTTCCAGTTTTGGATCCGAAAGATTCTAGAACTTGAAGGATATGGCGACTAACCGACAGCAGTGACATTCTTGTTATCATTTCTTGTCAAGTCAGAATGCTTGAAAACGTGTATATGTTCACTTAGATTGTGTACTCTGTGTGTTGACCATAGAGGTTCTTTTTCTTTGCTTCCCTCCTAGTAGGCCCAATCCCTCTCCATCTTGTGCTTTATCACTTGATTTGTGTACATTGTGAGCTTGGCAGTGATCAGTTAAGCTCGCTTCACTGTATCTCGCTGCACGATGATGATGATGACACACGAATCACTTTTTTAAATAAACCATTTTAATTTGTCTCTGCTGAGGCTTGCTGCATCTCGCAACTAATACGCTAGCAAACATCGAACAAATGGAGAAATCGTACTTATAGAGACAACGATAAACGTGGGTGGGAATAATAAAAAATATGTTTTCATGTGTGAGTGTGTTTGGAGGAGTTTAACACCAGCCTCGAGTTTCGCTCTTATTAGAGTTCATCAGTAATGCATATCCACCGTTTCGTCTGAGAATTGAAAGCTGGACTCATTGCATGGGAGGCGTGTATGCCAACCAGTTATTACCAGGACTGAACTGAATTGCTAATTCCTGTTTGTTCAGGTGTCGTCTTCAGAGATACTCAGTTCAATTTGACCAGACAGCAACGAAAAGAGACGCGGATGATTACCTGTTAACTCCAATAGGAAGCCTCCCATCAAGTCAGAATTTCTAGACAGACTATAAGGGGTTACTTGCAGCAAACCCAGTATGCTGGATCGATAATTAGCATTTAACTCACAGCTACTTGTGAGTAGTGTTGTGGGAAGAGCTGCAGAATGTGTATGAAGGTGAAGTCTGAGTGATGGTCAGTAATATTGGTTATCTCACAACACTACTCACAAGTAACTGTGAGTTAAATGGACATATTTAAAGAAATTCATATTGATGTGAACTGCCCATCCGGCACACAATTCGTCTTCACACAAAATCCTCAGTTCATCCAGTCAAAGATATACCGTAGATAAACTGAGTAATGTGGGTGAAGATGAAGTGTGAAGAATACGCGGACCACACAAATATGACTTATCTCACATCACTACTCATAAGTACTTGTGAACTGAATGCGAAAGTCACATTGTTGAACATGCACATTGCATATCCATGTCCATATATATTTGTGTCAGAACATTCGCCAAAATGTGTTGTTGCTATTTTCCGGGAGTATCGAAGTACCACGTGGATTGCGTAATTCAATGAATGTATAAATTTCACTTCCGGTTTTTACCGGAAGTTCTATTTTTACTAATGGCGAATATGAACCACATTTGCACTCTGGCATGTTGCCTGAGATAACATATATATGCATTCCGACGGCAATACAAGAAAAGAAAAAACCGCATCAGATAAGATCACGTGATACATATATTACGAGTTTTCGTGTAAAAAATTCCCTACTGTTCTCGTTGATGTGCTTTGCTGTTCAACTCTATCGGATCGATAAAATCGTTTGTTTGTTTGTCCCCGGTATGATTCAACAATGGATATGGTTCTGATCAAATCCCATCACATACATGTTTTGAAAATATTTCTAAATATCTCATAAGCACGATATCCTGCAAAATTGATTCGCTAAATCACTCGCTAATCACTAAACTTGTTTGGAATTTTCACAGCTGGTACAAACGGTCCTATTTCAGGTGAGCAGCATGAAATTTTGTCGGTCATTTGGTTGTTATTTCTACTTGGTTTTCAGTTTTCAGCTCAAACCCATTTAGGGGATGAATGTGACCGATTCTGACTAAAAACCTCTCTCAATTCATCACTCGACCTCACGCTTACTACTCTTTCCAAGAAATTTGTGTTGTGTTGATTGGAGCATTAGCTCATGCATCCGTCTCTTTTGTGGCATAGATTCCTCCAGGATTGTCTATATCCTGAGACCGCTTCTGCAGCTAGGTCTTTCAGCTTTGTTTAAATAACTGCTACCTCCAGTGAAGTAATTTCACTTTAAACGGTGCTTGAGTTCAGTGCTAGAACTTTGTTTTCAGACACTCTCGAGCGTACTCAAGCTAAATTTCCCATACCTTTAGAGGAAAAAATATTTTCCATTGACAAATCAGTAGTTCTTCCTGATACCTACCGGAATATCAGGAAGCCAGGAAGATTAGAGACCGGATAGCCTTCACAGGTCGTGAGAGAGCGCCTTCAGCTCTAAACCATGATTCCATTTTTCAGGTGGATTAGATGTTAATATCTGCAACAAATGCGACTTAACAGGTTTTATGGAGCATGTGAGTAGTTTAGAAATGAGCGCATCATCGACCCAGTGTTTAGGCAGGATGCACGTGAAAATCCCAACATTAAGGTTTTTTTTCAATCATTGCAAAGGTAGCTATATCAAAATGGGACCCCATAAATTGCTATGCCATCAGACTAGTTCCATGTGGCCCCTTTGAAAGGAATAGGAATGCGTTCTGTACATAATCTTCACTGTTCGTCAGGAATATTCAAGGGAGGTGAAGAAATACAGTCACCTGAGAATCGACTGTTTACAGTGGTACGCTGGCATGCAAAAGGATTTATATATATTAAATGCACTTTCTCTCTAGGGACACTGTCATTATTTCCAAAATATCTGTGCAGTTCAAAATAATCTTTGGAGCAATGAAGCACGAGATGCTTATTTAAAAGTGGATTGCAGAAGGTCTACCGACCATCGGATGAGTTTGTGGTAGGACCAGTTTTGAATGCAGATCATCATTCCAGTCATCTCCACGTTCCAAAAGAATGACACTGCAATGGTGGCACCGTGGTTTAGTCACTGTCACCAGTGTGCCTCGAACTCTGTCGTCCGAGGTTCGAACCCTACTACGGCCACCTAACTTCGATGATTGGCAGCTTTGCTGTTACCCGGTTCTATACCACGCCTGATCTAGGGAATCATCACTGGAAGTCCCGCTGGGCTTAGGATGCCGGTTACCGTCACTGAACAACAATTCTTCATGTCTATGGGATTTACTCCCTCTGCTGTTCGCCACACACTCATGTGTATTAAAAGATTCCACTCGAATTCCCACGTTCCTAGTCCCCGTTATAAATACATAAACTTGAACAGACTGAACGTGAGATCACATTGATACAAGCCTGTGAATGAAGTATTAAATGCGAATAATAGGCCTACAATGATGGACACACTGTATAACTTCCCGGCTTCTTGTTCGCGCAATGAGAGTTAAATAATCATGTCAAACATTTAATTTTTTCGAGCTTGCGGGGCTTCGATCAGCCGAGGTCATTGGTTTTCATTTTGATTATTTTCTTCTAGATTCCAGAATAAACACATTGTAACATTAGAACACAAGTTCGAAGATGAATAACTTTTTTAGACCGGTGCATAATCCTGCCTAAACAGAACAAATGGTCATCCATTTTTTCAGATCCGTTTGTAATGCAATTTACATTAACTGTACGGCGAGGAAACTGTTCCAACAGATTAGGGAACACAACCCACACTGCTTGAGTTAAGGACCATAGAAAGGTCATAGAAAGCACCATTATTGATTATCTGGCGGAATACAGGCCTTAAAATTAGACAAGAATACACGTTATCTATCTTGTA